TCTGCCAAAAAAATCTGCTTTTATCTTAAGGCATTCTTCTCTAAATTGTAAACAATATAATTGTAAACAGATTTAATCATTCAGATGGCTTAAAGCTAATGTATTTATTTGATTGCAATTTATAGCATGGTGTTTTAAAGATTTAGCTATTAGATGAAGGTTATCTGTTTTCTTTCAAAACTGACATTTAAAAAGATTATTTGATTCAAGTCCATATCAATGCAACTGAAAATCTTTTGAGTGCCTTCTGTGTGCAGGGCTCTGTGTAAATATGAATATAATTTGGCCTGTAAGTCTAATGTAGAGACACATAAATTACCTCCAGAGTATTAGGAAGAATGATGGGATATTGTTCAAGGGTTAGAGTGGGTATAGAAGAACTAGTTAAATAGGCGTATGTAGTTTCTCAAAAAATAAAATAAAATAAAAAATCACAACAATATGTATGCCTTCTGTTTTTTTAAACCATTGGTCTAAATAATAAAGTGAGGTCATGCAATGTAAAACATGGACATTTTCAGGAACACTGTGTAGATGACCATTGCTAAATCAATCATAGTTTACTCCACATCCATCACTGAGACAGCCAAATAAATGGCTGGGCTATATTACAGCCTGCTAATTTTCCACATAAAATTTCAGTTGGACAACTACAATTTCTCTGTCATAGAATTTCTATGCTGTACTTTAAATCGTGTTTTGCTGCATTTTCTGTGATTCCTTAATTATGCGTCCAGCTTAGGACTTCACACATTGTGGGTGCCTCAGAAAGTTTGACTGAATATCTTCTTCACTAATTCATATTATGTATCATTGCTCAGACCACTTTATAATACCAGGTACCTTCACTGAAGCAGAGGAAGAATTTGCTTTCTGATTTAAAAAATTGCCTACTAGGTCAACAATAAGCTTGTTGCCCCTAAGAATCATTCAGATTCTGCCATCACCATTCAATTACATTTTATGTATAAAGAAATAAGAATAATTTGAAAGTCATATACTTAAATATTAACTTCAGAAATTATGGTTTCAATGAAGATAGGGTACACAGTTATGAAAACCATTACACCTGTGCACGTGTGTGTGTTCATGCACGTATACATGTAAGTGCACACGCAGAACGCTACCAGGCACTGTGCTATGTGCTTCACATATGACACGTTATTTGATTCTCTCAACCACTCTGTGGGGTAGGTCCTATAGGCATCCTCATTTTTATAGGTGAGGAAGCTAAGGTGTAGAAAAAATTATTTTCCCAAGGTCATAGAGTCAGTAATTGACCTAGCTGGGAATTGAAGCAGGTCTGTTTTGTGACAATGCCAGGAAGTCCAGTGGAAAGACCTGTAAATGGCCTGCCCAGAAATAAGTGACGGTGATCTACTTTGTTAGTTTCCTCTCCTGTAAAAGAGGAGAATTGGACCCAAAGAGATCCGAAGGCCTATCAAATCCCATATTTTGTGATCATTATTCTTTTCAAGGGGAGCGCAATATCATGTCTTTTCTGAATCTCTCCTAGCCTTCCAGTTTATGTCCCACTGATTCATTGATTTAAAACCAGTGGAAAAGTTCCCATATGACACTTTGCTAAATTTAGGAAGTAGCTCTCCTCTCATCATTAAAGCCAAAGTTGGTGAGGATTTAAATTATTGAGCAATTTAATTTTTTTGAAAGATAAAATACTCATATAAAAAATTAAAGTGAGAATACCTTTATTTATGGGATTGTATATTCTTTAAAAGACAAAGCTATATCCTATTGAACTATGTTTCTTTTCCCAATGCTTTGCAGATAATAGATGTTTAATAAATGTTTGTTAAATAAAATTAACATGACAAAGTAATTTTTAAGCACCAGTTTACATAAAGTGCTGTGATTAAAGATGGATTTCTGGAGGTCGAGTACAATGGCTCATATCTGTAATCCCAGCACTTTGGGAGACCGAGGTTGGTGGATCACAAAGTCAGGAGTTCGAGACCAGCCTGGCCAACAAGGTGAAACCCTGTCTCCACTAAAATACAAAAATTAGCTGGGCATGGTGGCATGCGCTTGTAATCCCAGTTATTTGGGAGGCTGAGGCATGAGAATCGCTAGAACCCGGGAGGCGGAGGTTGCGGTGAGCTGAGATCATGCCATTGCACTCCAGCCTGGGTGACAGTGTGAGACTCCATCTCAAAAAAACAAAACAAAAACAAAAACAAAAATGATAGATTTCTATCTAATTTCAATAACTTCTGATACTTTACAATTTAAGCTCAATCTCTCATCATTTATTTTGTTTGTTTAAGAATTACTTTATTAAGGGTGATGAAAGGTAAATGAAAGTTGTCTTGCTTGTAATCCTTGATATATGACTAACATTTTAGGAGCAAGCACACATAAATGTGTAACAATCTGTTTTTTTTAAAGGCTCTAGTCCAGTAATCACAAGACTAGGTAGGGATATAGAAGTCAAAGGGGAGTAGAGAGCTGTGCATTTCTTAGGGATTAAATAGGACCTTGAAAATGGTCAGGAAATTAGATTCTAGATAACTTTATTGATTGAATCTGTATAGTAGAAAATTCATTTTGGAGGAATCTTAAGGACAGGCATTATTGTGTAGTTTTGTGGAGCCTGTGAGTGATAGACATGAAAGGACATTTGGAAACCCTGAGAAGTGCATCACATCCTTAAAGTGCCAGTTATTTAGCAGCAGAAAAAAAGACGAAAAGAATTCAAACACCCTTATTTCCAGCTCACTTATCTTCCCAATGCCCTGCACTCATAGATTAATTCATTCACTCACTTATTCCAAAGTTATTTTACTGTGCACATACCACTTTCTAAGCAGTTTAATAGATGCTAGAGACACATGGATGAATTAAGCAAACATAGCTTGCTTCTACTGTTGTACAGTTTGCAAACTTTTGGGTTCTCTTCAGTAAATGAGTGTCATTAAAGTACAGAATTTAATTTGGGAATACTTGTTTCGATGATGAAGGAGATGTAGATGAAAATTATTATGATTCCTTTCTATGTATTTTCACAAACTGATGATTATGTTGACAAATGAGTGTTCATAGAGCAAGTTCATTTTTCTCTTATTTTTTAGATTGATGAATGATGAACAGATTCCCATGAAGTTTCTGATAATATAGTGATGGGAGCAGAGAGGCATCTTGGAGAAATGGGCACAGTGTTGTAAGGGAGTGATTTGTAAGTTTTCCCACAAAATGGAAAATCTTGAGTTATGAGTCAGGAATAAAATTCAGTCATCAATCCTTAACTGAAAATTTTCTTCCTCTGTTACCAAATCTTGTAGTTTTAAGAGAGTGTTTTTTTTTGTTTTTTGTTTTGTTTTGTTTTGTTTTGTTTTGTTTTTTGTTAAGGTGAATCTTAGTAATGCTATAAGCTGTGAAAAAAAAAAAAAAAAAACTAACAAGATAGATGCTAAATACTCATTACCAATTATTTTAACATGTTGTGGCTCTTCCATCTCTACCCAGACCAGATGTTTAGACTCCTTATTTAGAATGAAGATAGCTAATAAATTATGTCTCTCAATAATGTTTAAAGTGTTAGTGCTCTTCCTAAATATTATTTAATTTCAAAATAGGAGTAAAGGTAAAAACAAAAAACAATAACCAAAAAATCAAAAAGAAAACCCTGCTAATCTATAAATGGTAAGATCCTGCTAGTTCTAGTAAGGAATGAATGTGTGGAGCAGGGTAAGTTTAAATTTGTACCATTTGTGGATAAAGTTGGCCTTTTGTATCAAAATGTATTTCTATGTGCTAGAGACTTCTTTGGCCTACTTCCTTACACTGCAGTGTACGCAGGTATAAAACAGGTACTCTTTAGACTTAATAATATTAATTGTGTGATATAATAATTATTTAATGGACAGACAACAAATGAAGAGAAAAAATAACAGCTATTTGGCATCATGTTTAATTAGAATTTTGACGTTAAAAAATTCTGGATACTCTTTGCATTTAAGGTATTATATGATTTTTTTTTAAAAAAATAGGCTCTGATAAAATCTGTTAAAATTGAAGTTAGACTGGCTTTGGCAAATTGATATTTATTGGATAATTAATAAATGCTTTGCTCATTAACTGGTCTTTGTTTAACTAAAGGCAGTAATTTTCTAATATAAACACGTCAGGAAAAGATATATGATTTAATCCTTTTGGGTTCTTTTCTTCCTTCTGGGTCTTTTCTTATACTTCCTTTTTTTCTGTGTTCTCCTATGTTTAATTTAACCCTGATTACACAAGCCCTAACAACTGGGAAAAAATATGGCCAATATGAAAAGTACTCAGAGGCAGAAATAATTAAAGGTGTGCATTACAAATGAAATCAAAAGGAATTAAGTTTATTTTTAGCTCAGACAACTGGAGGCTGAAAGTGGATTAAAAGTACTATTCAATTAAGCGGAGTGTGTGTGTATGTATCTAGAAGGGATTGTTTGTGATTACTCAATCTACAGAATAAGAAAGTGAAGACAGATTATTACTACAGCAAATCTTACTAGTAATTAAGAAGTATTCTATTCTTTGGGGGATTTGAGAACGTCTTCCATTTCTTAGTTCTGCTGAATGTCATATTTTTTATGAGAATATGTTGGAGATTAATGAGAGCAGCCAATAAGGAGAGCAAATGAAAGTTAATAGAAAACAGAAACAAGTTGGTTTTACCAGAGTCTGTAGCTGAAGAGGAGATGTTAATGCACTGAAATAACTGAGAATATTATATAGGTAAGTTAAGAGCAACCAAGGGACTTCTCTGTCAAGATACCCTGTGTGTAAGTTGGCAAGCATTTTGCTTAATAACTGTCTGGTTTGTACACAGTCCACAAAAATCTTGATTATTGACTGACTTACATTTTTCTTACCCTAATACACTATTTTACACACATGGCTCAAAATTGTTAATTTTATCTGTGCCCTGATTGGTTACACATACATAGAGTTTCCCTCAATATTTAACTGCCTTTCTACTTCATCCATCCTCCAGTCACCTGCTCCGAGGTTACCAAGCCAGAATGCAGCAAGAACGTCTGCAGCTGCTACAATTGGTAGAAGTGGGTTAGGCAGATGGTTGCTGAACAATGACCCATCAAGGACTATAGTTGTAGAAAGGAGAGGGGAGACAGGTATCATATTTCCTGCCTGAGATGTATACTGAGTGGTAGTAATTGCAGTGAATCCAGCTCACTGTCTCAACAGCCACTCACCTGCACCGTCTCCTCCCCTGTTATAACTGGACCAGCAGTTAAACAGCTGTATAGCCTTGTCTCCCTGTCTCGTTTTCCCCTGAGCTCCATCAGCAAGAGTAGCAACAGCAGCTGGAGAAGCGGCAGCCAGAGATAGGCAGGGCTGGTTCTCGCAGCCGCGCAAATCGCCTCCTTCTCAACACACACACACACACACACACACACACACACACACACACACAGCACAGACTTCCGATATCAACGCGTCTTGACATAAATCAAGGACTAAGAGAGACTAAAGAAGAGCGTTAGTCATGGACAACAGGTATTTCATCTCTGACAAATTGTTTCCTTCAGCTGCTTACTGATTTGGATGATAAAATAATCATTTGTGATAGCTAGCTTGAGTGGGAGACTGGAGGACTGGGGGGTGGCCGCGATAGAGGAGCGGGGATGAAGTGGGAGGAGTGAGAGGTGGGGAAGGGGGACGCCAAAGATGACTTTCAGGCTCCGGAAACCTACGTCTTTCAGCCTCCGCTGTTTTTGAGTTGCAAATGATCAGAGAAGGGTGAACTGCAGGCAGCCTGTGTTGCTGCCTGGAAGTAGATTTCCATCTTTCAGACACTAGTTCCAATGGGCCGGGTGTTCTGGAAGGGGGTGGCGGTGGAGAGGAGGATGCTGTGAGCAGAGTTCTTGAAGCTCCACTCCTCTGGGGAAGCCGAGCTGTGTGGGAGCCTTCTTACTGTGCGGGAAGCGTGTGAATTGGAAAGGATCCTGAGAGCTGGCTAGTCCCAGTTCCTCTCCGGAAAAGCAGTGGCTCTCGCTTCAGAGATGCGCCCAGCTTTCGCCTGCATCACACTGCAGTAAGTTAAACTGGACATGGTTGGCAAATTGAGTGGCTTCTGGGTATGTGGTGCGGGGAAAGGGAAGCTGAGAAGAAATGGGGAGGAAAGTTAGAGAAGCATAGCTTTGAATTCTCCGTGAAATGTTAAATCGGTTCGTCTCCCTGACTCCTGTCCTAGTTATGCTATAGTAGGGGTGCTCTGTGATTTGCAGGCGGATGCCGCTTGTGTATTAGCTATGCAGAAAGTGCCCTGTCCATTGTGATTTTAGGCAACACAACTGGTAAATGTTTTCTAAATTTAATTCCAAGAGTGGTCTCCTCAAAGTTACCAATGAGATAGCAGCTTGTCTTTTCAAAAGGTAATTCATAAAGAGGTTGGCTTAGACTTCCAAATGCCCTAGTTAATTGTTACAAGTTCCAGTCCAGATTTATTCCTAATCTGTGAACTAAACAAGCAAGCAAGCAAACAAAAGTCTTTGATTTACCTTATTACATTAAAATAAAATGTGAAGTAGGTCTCTAGATAACTGCTAGGCAACAGCCTAGGCCACACTGATGATATGATAAACATTCAAATACTATTTAGTGAGTGTCACATGGAGGGTTCCCTCAATTTCTTCCTGCTGTAATAATCTCCTCCACTTGCTGAACAGTTTCTTTCTTGTGATTTCACAGTGGAGGTTTTTACATAGATGGCTCTATACTTAGAAACCAAGCAGCATTGTGTTCACTGGCAGAAAATGAAGGCTTAAAACTTTTAAAAAACAACTTCAACTGGTTGCTCAAATTGCAGATAACCAACTCTTAAAAACAGGTCAGCAAGGACCAGTCCATTGTAAAGCAAATGACCGAATAAACATGAATGCAAGCAGAATACTGAAGGTCTTTTCTAGAAAAGAGATCAGAAATAATTAATCTAAAAATGTTGGGGTACCTAACCAGGTCCTGACGCATTCACCAGATTTTTATAGTGGTTGTGAGTGGTGGGGAATCCCTCAAGCAGAAAGGAGATATTACACAAAAAAGTTAGACTTAGTTAGATGATCATTGGAGAAAACACTGTATTAGTACATTTTTCTCCAATAAAAATTATTGACAAAACAGAAATTACCTAAAAGAGAATCTAGGATTTTAATCTGGATACGTCCATAGGCTAGCATTAATTCCACAGGATAAGAAGGCTTCAAATTTTATGAAATAACAATTGTGAAAAGCAAAGTAATTCTAAAATAATCTGTCCTTAGAAAAATAGGTAACTAAGGACTACTCTTATCCTATAATTTCAGTTTTAAATTGTGCTACTCTTTCTCTAATCCCCCAAATTTCATGCTTTTACCAAAAATAAAACATGTCAAGAATGTCTTTGGAATTGTGTTGGCTAATTTTCTACTCATCATGAGGATCTCTAGGTATAAAGGCTTACTTAATATTTTTTGGCATTGTTGGAAAACCCAATTTGTTATACGTGATCCATTCCACACACATACATAGTAGCCCTGTGCATAAAGTCTACATGTGACTTTGTGAATCACTGAGTAAAATATAATTCAGGAAATATATTTACTACAATAGTGTATACATGAGGGTGATTAAATTTTTTTGACACCAATGAGAAAGAGAACGAAAAAGTCTATATGAAGAATAGAAGAATATGGTTGGAAGAAATTTGCAAGCAGTTCCCTAACACTCTAGAGTCAACTATTATTAACTGAAACCTGTATGTAGCTAAAGAGAAGGAAAATTAGGTTAAGATCACTGATGAAAATTTGACAAAATTTTTTAAAATATAGAAACTTATGTAGTTGGAGTTGAGTGGTGGCAATGCCTTTGCTTCATGCTTTCTTGTCCTACTGGTAAGCAAAGCTCCTGTTTTGACTGAGAAGAAGCTTATCAAAATCATTTGTATAATAAAACAATTATTTAAATTGTTTTAACAATTTAGGTTAAAACCATTGGTAAGTTTTGCTGGGATAGTATCTGAACTAGTATCCTATGACTGATGCTTTTTCTTGCCCACTATTGAAAGAAGGGAGAGTCGTAGCCAGACAAGCCAGATGAAGATAGCTGCTGATCATGAAATCTAATTCTGTCTACTAATAATGACTGTGATGTGATGGATAGACTTGAAATGACATTTTATGATGATCCTCTCCTAGATGCCACTTCTAGCTGCCTTCAGGAACAGAGCTGTATTTATATATGCACAATACTATTGCAGTATCCTCTAAAGAGTAATACCTCTAGCTGAGAAGCACTTGCCCAGAGCAAACTCTAGGAAAAATTGTGAGGAAGCCTATTCCTATTGCCCCTCTCCCAGCAATAGCATTTTCTTTCTCTTGTAAAACACCAATGCAAATTCTGACCAAGTGAGTCACGTATGGTATGTCCCAATACCACAGTCAATATCTTGGGTATTTACTATGAAGTAGGTTCAACTACTTGATAGCCCTGGATTATTTCCTCATATGCTTTGTTCATCACACAATGAATGAGTAGTGGACGGTTATTTCGAGTGTGGCATTTGCACATCTGGGTCAAGAGCTTTACATATGCCTTCTCATTTATGGTATAACAGCTACAGGAGGGAGATGGCATTTTCTCCCCTTTAGAAAAAACTCAAACTCAGAGGGAATAAACAAATTTCTGAAAGCAACATATTTAGTGAATGCTGGGTTAGAATTAACCACTCAGTGTGACTAACTCTAATTCTTAATTGCTTTACTTCTTAAAAAAAAATTAAAATTGTACTCCATTATGGATTGGGGTGGGGTTGAGCATATTGTTTTGTGGATGCCATGGGTGGGTAGTGCTTGAGTGGTCTTCTTTCTCTGATGATACCCAACCTTGGATCCACCTAAACTGAAATCCACCTGCATTGACCCCAGATCCAAACTTGGCACACTCACCATTCCAATTTCAGGCTTTGCTTTGGCTACACAAACTCTGAAAATGAACATGGGGACATTGCCAGGAAGGAAGATAATGCAGTTAATATGGGAAGAGAAAAGTTGGAAGACCTAAACACAGGCAGGTATAAAAAGAAAATAAGGGAATCATATAGCGGAAGGCTGGTCCAAAAATATGTCCACATTCTTTGTCCTGAGGGACACTAAATAACAAACTCTTTGGACTGTGTGTGGGGTAGAGATCTTTAGTCACAGATAAAGTGCAGACTCAAAACATCTCTTTAAATAGTTGTAAGGTCTTATTACAAAAATTAGATTATGCTTGTCATCAGATAATCTCCTTTATATACTCCTTTTAAAAGTGGAAAAACAATGATTCAAAGAAAAGTGGGGGAGAAAGGCCAGATGCTGACTGAAGAGGTAAAAGAGTAATTGGAAATATCACTGGTTCTTGCATAATCACTTTCTGAAAACGTGCCAGGAAGCAAAAGGCCATCTTTAACTGGTGAGGATAAAAACAAAATGGTTCATTTAGGTAAAATGTGAAGTGTTACAGAGACTAACATGATTACTGTCACTTGTCTTCTTATCACAGAAGACAAACACTAACAAAGAATAAAGTGAAAATGTTATGGGCGTAGAGCCAAACAATATTTTAAGATTGGTCTTTCTCAGCATGCTAAATTTAAACAGCCGAAATTCTTTTTTAAGGATTTTCTGAGTCAACAATTTGAAATGAAGGATTTGCCATTTAACAGGGAATTTGTATTGCACTGTGAATTTGAAACACAATGTCCTCAGTCAGTTATTTTTGATTGGCAATATGCCGATCACTATAGATGCAAGGAGCACAAAAGCTGTTACCTCCAAAATCAGAGAAGAAATGGACACGCTTCATAAACTAACTTGATGCTCCTGAGTTATTGTCAGATGTGTACGTGGTGACAGGGCTTTGCAAATACATTCACATTGTTGGCCCTGATTCATTCTCTTGTCATTTGTGACACTTCAGGTTAGGATTGGGAATAGAGTTAGTTTTCAGGGTTGATTTTTGAATGTGGTGCTAAAATCAGCTCTCTTGCCCATTGGCTCTCTTCTTCTTCTAGTTTAAAAATAATGATAGTAACTTTCATTGAGTGCTTACTACATGGCATTTGCCTTTATAAATATCTTGCATATTTAATCTTGATCATACCCTTTTGGGATAATTTTATTATTATCCTCATTCCCATTTTATAAAAGAGCAAACTGAAGGACAACAGGGTTAAGTGACTTGTCACAGTTACAAACTGGTAGGAATAGAGCCAGGGTTTGAACTCAGGCAGTCTAGCTCTGGAGACCACTCTTCTAACCAAAAGGCTCTAAATTCACTATTAACTACCACTGGCTTATTATAATCCTCCACAGTTCACACAATGTTGCACCTTCTTTGTCTCTGCTTACATTTGCCTCTTTGTAATTTACTTTTGGACACCCAAACTCCTCTGCCCTCTCTCCAAGCTAATGTGTTTCATTTGATAATGTGTCTTTGTCCTTTAATCTCCTACTCTAGTATCATGACACTTTGAGGTATCT